TGAGAAAATATACTTCTGTCAAGGAAATAAGAATTCCATTTCATGATAGTTTTTCATATTGATGATAACAATTCAACTCTGGGTCGCAGTTCTCTTAGATTATAAATTATAATAATGGTTGATCAATTCATGTGAGAGAGAATATTTGCAAGTCAACTGACTGAACGATCAGTTTGAACGGATCCATCATTTTCGATATTCTGAAATCTCAGGTAGTTTGATATTCACTTGAGTGAAGTGGAACAGTTGCACGAGTTCATCATCAACTAATTTATACTTCGGTGAGTACATTATCATCGACAGCGGTAAGATCCTGCTGCTAGAAGAAGATTCAGTGTAGCAATATAATTGGATTATAAGTCAAGACGTCAAGACGTTATTGATTTTGGCTGTATAGAAGGAAATACGACGTCGTGAATTGTATTATGAAACCAAACCATTCATCGAAATGAATTAAAGTCTGGAAACAAGCTGACATTCAAATGAAAATCTGATGAAATAACGTGAAAAGATAGGAACTGATCATATCCCAATCGTGTGAGTAACATGAAATATATAAAATCACATGAATTCAATGATATAAACAAATTGATTAAAATAAAATAAATGATACAGATATGTTAGTGAAACTACTCATTCACAATATACAGAGTGTTTCCTAACTACGGTACAAAACTTCTGAGGTGATTCGTTAGGTCGCTTTGTTGCTCCGTTTCTGAGACAGGGGGCGTTGAATTAAAAAAAAACGGTATCTATAAAATATCATAAATACCCTTACACAGATTTGGTTGAAATTGGCTACTCGCAGTTGGCACCACAGCCCACAAAATTGGAAAACTACGCCACAGACTTGTTGCAGTTTTCAATTTTTTTTGAACTGATTCGCTGGAAATATAACTTTTTTGTCGNTTTTCCATTTTGGAAATATAACTTTTTTGTCGCTTGTGTTTTTTCATATGTAGTAGGTTCGTTTGCAAAATGAAAATGAAGCCACTGTGAATATCATCAACACCTACTTTGGAGACCAGCTGACAGTGATAGTGTTGTCATATCAGTGAAGGTTGTCAATTAGCAGTATCATGAAGAATTTTACTAGCGCTGGAATGGCTGAGATGCACTTTATTAATATATTAGCGAATGGAAGAAGCACGCGAATTTACCAGGACAGATATCTTAACAAAGTAATTCCATGTGCTAAAACATTCAAAACGCTACATCATGATTATGTAAAACTGGGAGTTTCAATTATAATGCTGGTGGTGGAAGACCAGACACTGTAAAAACGCATGAACTAGAAATAGCTATTCGTGATGCGATAGAAAAAGATCCTTCAAATAGTACCAGCTGTCACTGCACTGCAGCTGTCAGATCGAAAATCGTATGGACCGTTCTAAAAAAATACCTATATCCATATCACATACATCGGTATTTTCACCCAAGATTGATGTTCTGCAGGTGGTTGATTTATAGGTGGCACACAGTGATAACACTAGTTTACAGCCAATTCACTACTGTAATGCCTGAGGCAGCTCTTTGTTAATTTTTGTCCCTAAATATAAAAATGACAGTAAACATTTCCTAACCCGTAAGATTTTCCCCAAAATTGAGGAAATTGTTTAAAATCTGGCAACACAGCGGCTCTGCCCAGTATTTCAATCTGCTCCCGCTGTATTTGAGACTTGTAACGCCGCTTCTTGAACTTCCGATACTCGAAGTTTCCAGAAAATACCAGGAATACGGAACCGCTATAAAAGTAGCAGGTTGACAATTGGATCATCAATATTGGTTTAACGCGAGAAGTGGTGAGATAGTATCAAAGAAGCGAGGTGAGCAAACACGCCAATATTAAGAGTATTATATTGGTGTTATCTTCGTAAATAAAATAAGTTGGCTTCTGTAAACGCAGCATCACATATTTGAACTCGACGTACGCAACAGTACAAAAATGTCCAAAGTACAGAAACGTAGCTACGTTAATCCCGCGGATAGTTTCTGCTATATATGTGGTCAGTTTACTCCAAAATCGCAGAAACGGCTAATTAATCAAATGACCAAAGTAGCTTCCCATAAGTATTTTGGATAGATCGGGATTGGGCTCCTCACGTATGTAGCCAAACCTGTGCAGAAAATCTAAGTACCTGGTTGAATGACAAACGCTCTTCTATGCCTTTTGTAGTTCCAATGATTTGGCGAGAAAAAACAAATTATCACAACGACTTTTACTTTTGCATGAAAAACGTGTCTGGTTTTTAAAGAAAGAGCAAACATAAAATTGTATATCCGTATATTCTTTCTGCAAGAAGGCACGTTCTTCATGGAGAAGGTTTACCAGTTCCAACACCCCCGGCAAATTGGAAGGAAGATTTGGAAATGTATGTGCAATTAGAAATTGCACATAACCCAGAAGAATGGCGTTCATTTACAGATTCGTCTAAAACAAGTTTGAAAGCCGTTTTGCTCCATAATGGTAACAAAAGACCCTCTATTTCTCTTGCACATGCAGTGATCATGAAGGAAACACACGAAAGTATGTCACTTATTCTAAATGCAATATTACTAGGTCTTCAGGGCGGATTTACGAAGTATTGCTGTTTTCTTCGTCTTTGGAACAGTGGGGCAACACAAAGCTATTATCAAGTAAAAAAATGGCCTCCGAGAGATATTCCAGGTCAACCTAATTTTTGGTAATTCCAAGAAAGCGTTTTGTTGCCTCCATTACACATTAAACTGGGGTTAATGAAAAAGTTTGTATAAGCATTAGACAAAGAAGGTGATGCGTTCAAATATTTTGAACATGTTTTTCCGAAATTAAGTGATGCAAAGCTCAAGGAAAGTATATTTGTTGGACCACAAATTAGAAAACCACTAAGTGATCAACAATGGGATGTCGCATGTCTCTCAAAATCCATTTCTTGCACTCCTTTTTGAATTTTTTCCCAGAAAATTTGGGTGCTGTCAGTGGCGAACAAGGATTCACAATCGTCTTCAGGTGATGACTGGACTTTCCTCCCAGATCTGACTATTTAGAGGTCATTAGACAATGGAAGTCTGAACTAATGAATTGCATTATGAAACATTGTCAACCACCTTCAAACAGAATGAATAAAAGTTTGAATCCAATATGTAAAAAAGAATGTTTGTTGGTTGGTTGGTGAGTGATAAACTTCTACATCGCTCAACTGATCGTGAACAAACATGGCATGTTTAAGTAATTTTTCATAGAGAAGGTTTTTAGGCTATCAATTTTTCTGTAACTCGCCACTAGATGGCGCTGCAGAACAATTTTTTAAAAGCACTATTCCACAGTGTCACCATTAAAGTGCGCACCATATAGGAAACTATTTTTTCGACGAGTTTCAATGAAAAAGTGCATTTCTAGATCGAATTTATTAAAAAGTTACTTGAAAAACTTGTGTCTACGGCAATTTTATATACATATGCTATTTTTTATGCAACTAGGATAAAGTTAACGTTTTGCTTGACGTTTTGCTTTGCTTGACAGATATCCCCTTTATTTAAAAAAAAAACAAGTTCGGTTAATTGTCCATGACTGGTGCAAATTTTCAATCAATTGGTTATTTTCTTAAACAAACCTTGGATTTCGAAAAAGCAGAGGCAACTAAAATAAAATGCAAATAATTTCGATAGAACTCAAGAGGAAGAAAAAACAGTTTTTTCTTCCTCTTGTAGATCATCACTTGGTGATCGAAACACGTGTCGAGGTGTAAAAATAACGATTTGGTGTTGGGAAAAAACTCCAGTAATATTCAACAATAATATTATAGAAAATACATATGGGTACAAAAAATTACTTATTGATCTAAATGAGGTTGTCAGACACTTATAGCCTATATTTCAGTATGTCGTCCTCCACGTTCAATACAAATTATGGTATTTCTACTGACATCTGTAACTGCATTTTCAATAAATCGGGGATTTATATTTGCATAGCACTCGCGAATGGTATTTTCCAGATGTTATATGTCAGTAAATGGTCTACTTCGGTAC